CTTTCCTGCTCCTCTGATGCTGCCTGGCCTGCTGTGTTCATCCAGCTTTACACTGTTATCTCTGACTCTAGCATCTGGAGTTCTTGCTTTCTCTAAGTACACACCATAGCTGCTGTCTTCTCTCAGGTGAAATCTCCCTCATACTGACTATGGTCCCATACTGACTACGTGTTTTACAATTTGTTTCCTTATATTGAGCTGTGATGAGTCACTCTATAGTTTAACTTCCTGCTACAGTATTCAGCACCTAATCAGGCCCCAGTTCAGGACTACATTCAAGCAAGGAATGTCAGATGGTTGATGGAAAGCCAGCACTGTTGGCATGGTGGTGTCACTGGCCTGGGAATCTAGGGGCGTCAGGCTCTGAGGAGAATTCAGATCCCACTAGTGAGGTGTTCAGTTAATGATTAAAACCTGAAACATAAAGCTAACCTTAGTGATGGTCAGTATGAATATACCACCCACTGTCATAAAAACCTGTTTCACTGATGGTCTTTAGGAAAGGAAGTCAGCTGTCCTTACCCGGTCTGGTGTAAATGATTAACTCCAGATCCACAGTAAGGTGATTGACTCTTAACCCCTTCTTGTACGCCCAGACCATCTGTGCCACAGCGCGCTGCCCTCGCAGTGACTGCAGGTGTAAAGACTGTCACACATCTCCTTCTGGAATGAGCCTTTGCAAAGGAAGCCTGGAGAGAGAGGTGCAGTGGTTTTTGTCGAGGTTCATTCCAAACAGCTCCATGACACGGGACTCTGCACCCTATGTCTGTACCGCAGGACGCACACCGAGACGAACAGCGACTGGAGGACCATCAGCTCAGTGAAAGATGCTCTTTGGTCTGCCCGAAACTTGCTGGTCTTAGAGAGCGAGGAGCTGACCTTGACCAAGTGTGGCACAAGCAGAGGTCCAGGACTAAGTGCTGAGGGACACACTAAGGATGGGGCACAATGGAGAAAGACCACTGTCTAAGGTCTTTCTGACAAAGTTAAATGGGGGTCCATTTAGTTATTGGAACCACCCCATGTCTCAAATGTATCTAAATATAGTCTTGCACAAGTAAGAAATGCCATTGGTTTGTTTGCTGGATACAGTCACACTCCAATGTTTGTACGTTTCTTCATATGCTATTGTACAGAACTGAACTACTTTAGGGACTATGTAGATAAAGATATTTTTATGAATAAAATATATTTTTGAAATAAATAATAGTGGTTGTCTGTTAACTGTCCCTCTGAACTGTCCTGAGCAAGTCTCTTAATCAAAGGGAAATGAGAAATGGGCAACAAATGTTGACCTTGTCAGTGATGCCCACATTCCTTAAAAGAATAAAGGAGCTGCCGGTTTAACTGGGCCTGTCTAACTGGGCCGGTCTCACTGGGCCGGTCTCACTGGGCCTGTCTCACTGGTCCGGTCTCACTGGGCCTGTCTCACTGGGCCGGACTAACTGGGCCTGT